TGTTGTTAGTCGGTTTATGTCAAATCCAGGAAAACAACATTGGGAGGCAGTAAAATGGATTATGAGATACTTGCGGGTACTTCCAATTTGAAGCTCACTTTTGGAAGTGGAAAGCCAGTGCTTGCCGGTTGCACTGATTCAGATATGGCAGGAGATTTAGATAACCGAAAGTCTACTTCCAGATATTTGATGACATTTGCAGGTGGTGCAGTGTCGTGGCAGTCAAGACTACAGAAGTGTGTTGCACTTTCTACGACTGAGGCAGAATATATTGCAGYAGYAGAGGCGTTCAAGAAGATGTTGTGGATGAAGCGATTTATACAARAGCTCGGCTTCAAGCAACAACAGTATGTGATATTATGCGATAATCAAAGTGCTATTTATCTTGGTAAGAATTCAACATTTCATTCGAGAACGAAACATATTGATGTGAGGTATCACTGGATGAGAGATGCTCTCAATGACGGACTTTTGAACTTGAGAAGATACATACTAATCATAATGGATCYGATATGTTGAYAAAGAATCTACCAAGAGAAAAACTTGAGTTTTGTCGTTCCGTTGCTGGGATGTCAATTTCTTTCACATAGTGAAAAAKGGGGAGATTTGTTGGGTATTTTTCACATTGTGTGGAAAGCCTAACTTTAAGGCCCACATGGGCCATTAATGTTTTAGGGTTATATATATATATTACTAACCTAGCCGGTCAACCACAATTGAGGAGAGAAAGGGAAAGTCTATGCACGCAGATTGAGGAGAGAAAACAGAAAAGAAAAAGGAAACAAATTCATTCYGTACAGTAACGTTTTTTGCACGATCAGAGGTTGATCCCTGGTCCAATCAGGGTGAAATTTTGACAGCGTGTTCGTAACACGAGGGTCTTCAATCTGGACGGTGGAGATTTCTTTTGGAGCTATCTACAGTCAGATACAGTGGGTAGTTGGTGCCACTTTCTAAGTGAGATCTTTCTAATTTTCTTCCCCGGTTTATTCCCTTTGTTTGCCGAGATTTATTGTCTCGAGATATTATTATTGTATACCTCTAGTTGTTGCTAGGGAGAACTTGGTGTACCTATTATTGATTATGGTAGAGATTTTGACTTCGGTCCGTGGTTTTTTACTTCTCACATTGAGGGGGTTTTTCCACGTTAAAATTGCTTGTGTCTTGTGATTGTTTGGATTATTATTTTTACTTGCTATTTCCTATTAAGTTCGCACAAGAGGGGATAATTGGTCCATAAATTTAAGTGTTTATCCCAAAAAAGTGGTATCAGAGCGAGGTTAAAAATTAATTAGGCCTTGTGTTGAACAATGGAAACTAGTACGATGAAAATGGATTTGGTCACCAAAGAGATCTTCGGCGACCAAATACGTAGTTGTCGTCGAAGATATCTTCGGCGACCAAATGAGTAGTCGTCGCCGAAGATATGTTCAGCGACGACATTAAATTCGTTGCCGAAGATATATCTTCGGCGGCGACTAAGTATTTGGTCGCCGAAAAATATCTTCGACGACCAAATCTGTTTTCGTCTCCGAAGGTATCTAACATTTGGTGACCAAATCCGTTTTCGTCTCCGAAGGCTTTTTTATTTTATTTTTTTCAACAATAAACCTAAATGCTGATTGAATTTCATATAAAACTTATAATATTAAATAAAATTTAGTTTTACAAAAATTACAAAGAAGTTCATACAAACAAAAATTAAACAACATATTCTAATAAGTCTAAAAATAAAAAACCTAAACATATGAAAATGTCTCATATCATCAAATTCTTCACGAGAGATAATCAACTTTTCAGAAGCTTTCGATACAGAAATCGAACTAACCTGAAAAAATAAATAACAAATAAACTTATGTTAACAAATACTTCAACAAGTTAACTCACCACTTCTATTCAAACAAACTTCCAATTCTAACTCATTCTACATAACAAACTAATTGCACATGCCSTGAACTAAAAATTCTCACTTCATATGCATGAACTCAAAGTATGCATTAAAAGTTAACTCATTAAAACAACTTTCAAATTCACAAAACTTACTCTCACTCAGTCTAAAAAACATCCACACAAACTTTATCACAATTCACTTAAAATTCAACAACGTTATCCAAAAACACTTAATAACTCAACACTTCAAACAAACTCACCACTTCCATTCAAACAAACTTCCAATTCAAACTCATTCCACATGTCAAACAAAACATTCAAGCTTTGCACATGTCATGAACTAAAAATGTTATTCAAGCTTTGCATATG